ATGGCGTGTTAGTTCTCTAAGTGTCAGTGTCAGCCCAGATCCAGTGCCCAGTTATCCTAGTGATAATCCCCTTTTTCCGGTGCATAGTCACCTTGGTAAATGGTTCCATGTTTCTTTGAGGAAGGTGAGGAGGAAGATTTACAGTATGATCTTCTGGCAGTATGTTAGGGTTTCCCAAGGGAACCCCTCCTCTTTATTCAAGAGACACTGGGTCTGTGAACTAGCTCAAGTCTGATCATTGGTTGAGAGCCAAGACTCTTTTCTATGTTGATTGCATTTAGACCTCTGGCAATTAGACCTAGAGCTTTTCTACTTATACGAATCAGATAACATTTAAGTAGAGTGCCTACCTATTTTAGTCCTATGAGCGCTAAGATCAGTTAGCCAACACCAGCGATCTCTGTGGGTAAAACCATTTTGTTTACTGCTTTGATTTCAACCATGTCCAGTTTGTTTCTGGAAGTTAAGTGCTACTACTTGGCCTTTGTCACCCAGATCCGGATCCCATCATCTTCACTGAATTCAGGGAACCTAGCTTGATTGCTGTTATCCCTGCTACACAGAACTTATTGAGCCCCACAGAGCTAGGTCATCACGGATGCTGGGGCTCCCCTCAACAATACATATCTCAAACATTGGTAAAGAAAGTGTTTTTGTGTTTTGTTTTTGTTTTTGTTTTTGTTTTTAACTTACCCTGGAGACATAGTTAGGGGTTGAGTGAGCATGACTTACATCATAACTACTCTCCATATGTTAGGGAAGTTAGAAGCCATTTTCCTTAGAAACTCCAGAGTGGGTACCTGTGTTTATAAGATAAGGAAGATGTTTATGATCTCAGTGAGTAAAACAAATTAATATGCAGAATGTAGTCTCAGTTTGACAAGCATAACTGCCAACAAAATGTTTATATTTAATGCTTTTGGAGTGAAAAAGGAATTTTCTTGGTCATCAGTGTATTTCGATTTTCTTAGGTGAAGATATAACCCATTTGAATGTATTTTCTTTGTCTTACTATGTGATTAAAAATCCACATTAAAATAAAATAATAATAAAATAAAATAAAATAAAAATCCACATTTTTTTCCTATTCTGAGGTTGAACAGGACTACTCATGTTCTATATGTATGTATACATACATTTATACACACATACATACACATATGTATTCTTAAAAAAACTCTGTCTTTTGCCTTCTGTTGTCTCTCTATTCTTTTTCTTTCTTTCCTTTTTTTTTTTTTTTTTTTAAATCTCATTTATTTTAGAGAGAGAGAGTGAGAGAGACCACTAGTAGAGGGGAAAGGTAGAGGGAGAAGCAGACTCCCTGGTGAGCTGGAGCCCCATGTGGGACTCGATCCCAGGACCCTGGGATGCTGACCTGAACTGGAGGCAGATGCTTAAACAACTGAGCCACCCAGGCACCCTCTCCATTATTTCTTTTCTTTTTTTTTTTTTTTTTTAAAGATTTTTATTTATTTATTTGACAGACAGAGATCACAAGTAGACAGAGAGGCAGGCAGAGAGAGAGAGGGAAGCAGGCTCCCCGCTGAGCAGAGAGCCCGATGTGGGACTCGATCCCAGGACCCTGAGATCATGACCTGAGCCGAAGGCAGCGGCTTAACCCACTGAGCCACCCAGGCACCCTCCATTATTTCTTAATAATTCTCCCCTTTTGGGGTCTTGCAGGAAACTGAAGTAGATAAGAGAATGTTTGAGATGGTTGAAGAGATAGAGTTACCTTATTCATGACAACTTACTGTGGAACTATAGGTTACTGAGGTAGTAACATCGGCTTGAGAAACTGTGGTTTATTTGGGCCAGGTAAAAATACTAAGTTTTTGAGTTTCTTTAAAAGAAAACATTTAAATTGAAGGCTTGGAACCATTTATCCTACCTCCCTCTCTGCAGTGGGCTACTCATTCAAAAAAAAAGATTTGCCTTTATGTAATCATTCTAGGTAAGTGTATACCTAAGAAACATAGAAATTGGGTGCTCTTTATTAGGATAGCAGTTTCTAATCCACCATGAGATCATGAAAGAAAGGTATGCCCTTGACAGGAGATTGATTAGTCCCACACAGGATGGAAAATTCATTCTTCCCCAAAAATCTTCTCTGGTCAGAAGCATTGCCAGTTAAGGTTGGCCTTTTTAGCCAAATAATTATACCACAACCCAAGTGGAATTGTTAATCAGAATCAGATTCAGGTGGTTTGCTTCAAATCACAAAGGATAATAATGCTTAAAAATAAAATCATATGATACATACCAGAAAAGAAGAATATCACTATAAATAATAAAACATTCACTGGTTATGCCATGGTTACACACACACACATATTTTTATATTTAATGTAAGTGTTATGATGTTGAGTAGAAATACAAAATAAAATATGAAAATTCTCAAATACAAAAACAAAAACAAAAAAAGATTTGCCGAGGTATACCCAGAGTTGAAATATACTTAATAATCAAAGTGAATAAGAGAGACTGAAACAGGTGGCGGTGATGGGAAAGTATAGGCTGGCCTCCAGGTACTGAGACATACATGTATGGAGAGAAAGTTGGAAGGTTTTGAGTTGGTATTTTGAAATATAAAGTGTTCTAACATATTCCGTTCTTCGTTTGGACTTTGACCTTTGAAAAGCCATTTATGACCACTTTTCAAATTATTTTTATGGCTCTTCATCTGTGGATTTTTAGAGCTTTCTTTGATAAGATATCATTAATAGGTTATTGTTTCTTATAATATTCAAGGGTTAGAATATTATTAGGTTAAATCAAATTGTCAGTAATGTCCTGAGTCCTAGTGACCCTTTCTTCTTATTTATAAGCATTTTGCCATGTTAAGGGACCAGAAACAATTTCTTTTTATAATGGATGTGGGTGAGACTTAATGCATACTTTGTATTTCAACTGACTTTATTATAAAAGCATTTTCAAGCAAAGAGACTTTATTTTATGTAGAGTATAAGAATATGCATGGGTCAGTAAGGACAGGGCATTTTGTCCTCTTACCCTTTAACACTCATATTAAAATGGTTTTATTCTTCTGAATTTCTAAGAGGAAGTTTTCTCCCTTATTGTAAAAGCCAGCAGATTTCCCGAGTGTCCTTGCATGATTTATTCATGGCCTACTTGTGTAGTAGCAAAAGAAAAGAATTATACATTACATTTTTTTTATCTTGTGCAAGAGCAATTTAAAAAATATATATTTGGTAAGGCCTTTAATAAAATTTTTAATGAGTTGTCTTTCTAACTCATAGTAATTATAAAGAGTACTGTCTCTTCCATTATCATGGTTCAGAGCAGGGTCTCTCTCTCTTTTTTTTTTTTTTTTTTTTTTTTGCCTCGCTGGGATATGTGTTGTTTCCATATTACTTCTGGTTTTTTTTTTTGGTTAAATATTCTTTTGTTTAAGAAAATCTAAGGTGAACCCATACTTAAGATAGTGTTTAAATTATACCTGGATGAGTGTAATAAATTTATTAGTAACATTTTGTCCGCGATTAAAACACTAAATATCACCAATATTCCGAGGTAGTCTGTCATTTACCAAAATTTTCCCTCCCTTTCTTCCTTCCTTCCTTTCCTCCTCTCTTTCTTTCTTTCTTCTTTCCTTTATTGCCTTCTATCCTATCCTCCAAAAGTTCTAGCAGTTGAATACATGAGGAATGGATAAATAGTCTCATGTAATTATTTGTTTACTATTCTTCCTCCTCTTTTTTTTTCTTTAAAAAGATTTTATTTATATATTTTAGAGATAGAGTGAAAACAGGAACAAGGCGGGGGTGGGGGGTGGGGGGAGGGGGAGGAGTAGAGGGAGAGGGAGGGCAGACTTCATGCTGAGGCTCTATCCTACCCCCTACAGATCATGACCTGAGCTGAAATCAAGAGTTGGGACCTCCAACTGATTGAGCCATCCAGGGGCCCCTCTTTCCTCCTCTTTTTAGACTGTAAATTCTCTGAGGACAAAGACTACACTAATCTTATTCACCTCCATTTACCTAATGCCTTGGATTAGTAAGTAGTAGGAATTCAGTAAAGTATTTGAATGAAAGAGCCAATGAATAATAAAACATATATTATGAATGCTTCTTTTTGAAATCATCCTTGTTAAAAATATGTTTCTTGTCTATTGCAATAGATTGTAAAATATGCTGGGGAGAAATTATAATAGGAAAAGAGAAATATTTTTAATAGAATATTTCAACATTTGCTACTTGTTTTTTAACAGTAAAAGAGAAGTACAGTGAACAATCAATTTAAAGTGGTTTTTAAAACTAAACTTTTGATGATTTTGGATTAATCTTTTGAGCTACAGTTGACCATGTGACCTTGATTGGCTCGACTAACTTATGGCCCAACTAAATTAAAATAGTTTGAGGGCCTAATATGGAAATACTCATATTTTTATAATAAGTATCAGTTTTAAGGGTTTTAATTCAAACATGATGTGGGCCTATGTAGATAATAGCATTTTTGTTATTTATTTCAAATTGTAACTTGAGAATTTTAAGGGTTGAAGAGTGTTTCCAAGCATAACAGAAAATTATGTGCTCTTGGGTTCAGAAATTATTATTTAAGCAAAATAGGCCTGACTGATCAGAAACACAAGGACCAAAGTAACTGGTGTGTAACTTCCCAAAACAAGGTTAGTATTTGGGCTGTTCATTTAATTGTTGGATAGCAGGTGTGTACAAATACTTCAGTTAATTAGGCGATGGAGAGAAAAGAAGCTCACTACTAACTACAGTGTGGGCCTCGGTAAGGTAGGGAGTAGTCGTAAATTTGCACTTGATACCTTATGAACTTAATTTGATCATTTGTTTAGAAAGGCTATTAATACTTGGCTATACAGTAGTATACTTTGGAGAGGAAGACTCTGCTCAGTGTTTCATAACATCTTTTCAGCTCTATCTAATTGTAATATCTCTGTTACTGTTTACTTAGCTTTTGTCTCCTTGTGACTTTAGGATATATTTTCATCTTACATTTTTCTCTAGGTATCCACAAGGACAAAGATAAACCTCCCAGCTTCTCTGTTGTCCTTGAGACTTTGAGGCGTACCTTGACAGATTACCAGAACAAGCTGGAAGAGGCGTCTAATGAGGTAACACTTGCACTACTTGGCTCCACACTTCTCGCCTTCGGCCTGCAGCACTCCGGTTCTGTGCTTGTTACAAAGGTCAGAAAGATTGGGAATGTTGAATTGACAGCTTCCCAGATACAAAAAATAATAAATCGTCTGTCGCTGTTCTTTCTTTAAGTGTGGCCTACAGTCGTGTCTCACTCACGGTTTTGTAACTCTAAAGTCATACCTTTATTTTCAAAGTTACGAAGACTCTGTCACTTCTTGGCCTTCAAAATTTATCTATTTGAAGTTAATAAAAACGACACAAGTCATCTAAGGTAATATGTATTCTATTTGAATGTTAACATGGTTTTAGGAAATTAGGACTATGTAGTGGAAATTCCGGTTTTGACAAGATTTGAGGGTAAGATTTCAACAAATTACGGAAGTCTTAACAAAACGAGAGAGGTTAGTTCTCATTCTCTGAAGAACTGTTAAAGAAGCTTTCAAAAACCAGTGTCTGTCTGATGTAGCCTGGTAGTTTTTGGTTTGCTGATTAAAAAAGCTCGTGCTTCTATTTTTCATCTCATTTGTGTTGTTTATTGTGCGGGTTGGTAATTTTCTTGGGTATTAAAATGTTTTATGAATTTGTGCTTTAAAAATTGAAGAGTTTGTTTAGTTGGCTCTTGTCAAACTAGAGAGTATGAAATAATTACATGAAATACAATTAGTTAGCAAAACAACCAACAGATTGTTCAAACCAAAGACAAGCCACAGAGCATGGAATTCACTGTCTATCCTTTTGTTTGTTTCTTTCAAATAACACAAGGCCACGCAATCATTCTATTTCACATTTCAGAGGAGGTTTATTTTACTATAGTTTACCACGGTCAACAAAGAAGGAAAAGTGAGGTCTTCTTAATACCCTCTGTAATTGTTCAAAGGGCAAAAAGAAAGTGACCATGGAAATAATTAAATTTCTATAAAGAACACACTGCTAAGTCTTTCCTAGTGAGACAAGACAACCTGTATTGTTAGTAGTTTATGCAACTCTTCTGAGGCCTAGGTCTGGACGCTGCAGGGTAACTAGGAACATATTACCCACAGCGAATTGTTATTTGGGAGGATGAATGTCACGTGATCCTTAGCACAGTTGAAAAGTCGACTCAGCAGGCTTTGGCTTAGTAATGTGCTTTGTTGTGAACCAGTGCCAGAGACAGCAGTGGGGAGACCAAGGGGGTGGCTGCAAAGAAAGCAAAAAGAGCAGTCTGACAGAAAGAAGAATGAACTGTCAAAGAAAATAAATCACAAGCGGAGCAGGACCAACTGATGACCTGCCACAAGCCTTCCCAGTAGGACTGCATGTGACCGACCCTGAAGTTGTCATATGGAGTGAGAGACCCCTGAATACCCCCATGATGTATAGAAACAACAGTCTCCTGCTCTCTGTTTTTTTCTTCTCTCTGTATAGATGCCACCGCTTTTGGCATTTTGGTCCGGTAGGAGTTTAAGAATAAAGTTGTATTTGTTTACAGTAAGCACAAAATCATTTATCCAGCCATCGAGGAAAAAACAGGAACATCACTGACATTTTAAGCTTGAATACTTTTTCTTTTTTACCACGTGAACTCATGACAGAAATGACAGGGTTAACCAAAAGAAATAATTTTTCAAGATTCTTAATCGCTATTGGAACATTGGCGTTTAAGTAATTGCCTAAAACAACATTTAAAGATTAGCTTTTGAATGACTCACCCCTGGAAAACATAAAAAAAAGTAACTTACATTTTCTTTCATCAGCTAAACAGCATGAATGATGCTAAAGAAAAGGCATCGGGTGAACTTGATTCTACCAAACAGAAGATAGAGTCTCACACTAAAAATATAAAGGTATTATGACTTAGAATAACCTTTTCCTTTTGTATTCAGAAACAAATATGATTATCTAGGGGATACTTTTAAAGTAGAGATATCTGAAAATGTATCTCCCTATTTTTTATTAAGTACATTTGGATACAATTTTGATTTTTTATTGTTGATCAAAGTAACAAGAATGTATTTTTCACTAAAAAATAAAACTTGGTTGGAAATTATTTTGGTTAAAGGAAAGATGTATTTCCCAGATTTAATAATTAGAATACCATAGATTCAAAAAATGATTTAAGATTTAATGCCCAGCCCCAGATCCGTATTCAACATATTTTACATAAGCACATCAGTATTTGGAGTCCGTTTTCATCATTTTAGGGTGGAGCAATTGTTTTTAGAGCATCATGCCTAATAATGGGCTGAGACTGCGTCTGGCTAAGGTCCAAGGCAAGAGTTTATTTTATTTTCTGCGGTGGGTTTTTATACTACATCTTTGCAAAATTATACTGAGGGAAGTCTCAGAGTTGGAAATTTTTTGTGTCGGTTTATATTGAGTTTGTCATGGACATACTTCAGTAGAATTTGTTAATAAGGTTGAAGAAGAAATAGTTCAGAATTTTATGTCACACACTTGAGATTTCTATTGGTATTTGAATGTCATTGGGAGGTAAATGTTCTTATATTAAATGTAAAACATTTAAAAGTTTTTTGAGCTGCCAAGCTATTTTTTTTTTTTATAATGAATTGAAAACTCCTTTTCAAAGAGCTTTCTGGAATTAGCCATCTTATGAACATTTGATGTTTCAGTGTTAAAACAAAATAAATTAAAAAAAAAACTTAGTAGTTTTTTCTAACTTTTGAGCGAAAATGGTATACTTAGAAAGTTGATTCAGTAAATTACTGTAATGTTTAGCATTGTAGCCAAATGCTTGTGCTTGTGATTGTTTTATGGTAAAGTGTGGGAGGTCTTCATTATTATGTATTTTGTCTTTGCAACCTCAGCCCCTTTACTGGCCAGCCTTCATGCAGTCTCTCTATTTTGCATCTCGGACAGGACCTTCAGGATAAACTGGCTGATGTGAGTAAAGAGTTAAGTCATTTACGCACGAAATGTGCAGACAGAGAGGCTCTCATAAGCACTTTGAAAGTGGAACTACAAAATGTGCTGCACTGTTGGGAGAAAGAAAAGGCTCGAGCAGCCCAGTCGGAGAGTGAACTGCAGAAGCTTGCCCAGGCTTTCCAGAAGGATACTGAGGTATTACCTGACACAGGATGCCTGGCAGGAAAGACCTTCACTAATCTCAGTTTTCTAAATTTACATACATCAAGTGGCTGCTTTTACTGTGATTCAATCTAATTCACAAAATTGTTCTGAGCCGACTCTTTTGAAATATTCATGCCAGCCACGAAATTGGTCACTCCATTACTCTAGTGTCATCCCATTTTGGAGAGAAGTAATGGAGTTTAACCTCTCTGTCACTTGTGTGGCTTCATCTCTCTAGAACATCATATCCCAAGCAATGAGGCTCCCAACAGTTTTTTCAAAATGTGCCTCTTTGCCGGTGACAGAATTATTTTTTATTTCAGTAGTTTAGTAGCTGAACATGGTGGAAAGAATATGTTTTTTGTAATCAGAAAGGACCGGACTTGGCTGCTGGTACCCCTGTTTACAAACTGTGAATATGGACAAGCCACACACCTTAGTCTCCCCACATCTTAGTTTCCTTATGTGCAAAACAGGAATAACATCTTTAACAGTCTCCTTATTCTTTATAACTGTAGGATATTAACCAACATTTTGGAAAAGACAAGTCCCACAATATTGAAACTTTATTTAGACGCCCTGAGAGTTGTCTATCTATTTTTATTTATTAATGAGTTCTTAAAATATTATGACAAAAACTTTTCTATTCTGTATGAGCCTGTGTGAATGGAATTGTTATCTTATATATTCGTTTACCCATGGGATATAGAGCTAGTTTAGCTAGTGTGGAACCGGTGTATCTGAGTCGTCCTGCATATTGAGTTCATTACTCCAACAAATATGAACATGAATGCCAAGAGAGTAAAAAGGAAACATTCTTTCCACTCTTCTTACAGTCTGGGATTTAAATTGTGTCCACATGAAGGGGCTGGAATTGTTCTGCGCATCAGATAATGATTAAAGGAAAGGAAACTAGAAGCCTGCTTGTATTGTAAAGTCAGCATGTCTACAGCGCTGTGGTTGGGTTCGGCATGTGTGAATTGATCTTGGATCTTGAGATTCTCTTTTCACGCCAAATGGATGATTATCATGCATGGTTTATCACAGCCCAAGCAAAAAGGACATAATGGCGACACAATGAATTACCCTTTAGGAGGAACTCAATCACTTGGCAAAATGTGGAGGGCGAAGACTTTTAGTGCCTGAATGTTACATTTGGTTAGTTACATTTAATAAGATTTTTAAACATCTCAACCCAGTTGAAAATGCAAAAGACATATTTAATTGCTTAAATAAGAAAAAGGTGTAACATACTTATGAGGATTCTTCTGATATCCTAACTCAAGTTTGTGGTTGTAACTACATATTAAAATATTTTTGGTTTTAACTTACTATATTTGGAAAAAGGCAAGGTGGCATATAGAGACAATTAGAGATACACATTTTTATATTATATATGTATTATATATATACACATATAATACATATATACATACATAATATATACATACATTCATATATATAAAAAATTTCCCCACAATTTATAATTATACAACGTTTATATACAGTTTTCCTTATCTAGAAGATTAGTATTTCTATTTTTCCCTCTCAAATTTTCTCCTTTTTAACATTTTTCTTGCTGATCTACTAAAAAAAAAAAAAAATAAAGGAACTTAATTTATCTACATAAAATATTCTTTTACAGCTTTACACTGACCTTGTCTTGAGTTCCACTCTCGGGCACTTTATAGATGAAGCACCTTATAAAGAGAACCGTTTGGCATTTGAGTAAATAAACTCTTTCTGTGTGTTCAAGATGGGATCAGCTTTTTACTGAATTCTATCGCATAGTGTTTCTGGGTTGTTAAACAGTGGATGGTTTAGTTACTACAATGGCAACATCATTTTGAGAACTTTTTATTATGTATTTCTAATTGGACAGTTTGGAAAATATGTCTTGGGCAGCTGTGTCCATTTCTTTTTGCCTGTTACTTCATAGTATTTAAACACCTTGAAAAGCCCAATGTGCCAAATACTATATGAACTTACCAGGAAAACAAATGAGCCCCTCTTCCCTATCTCTCATATCACTGTCTGCTTTGCCTAAGGGGCCGAGGATAGATTTCCTATAAGTGGTAAGCAAACTAGAGTCTCTGGAGGAGGAAGAAAGCTGAGTAATTGTGTACATGTAAAGCACAGATATTGGTGTAACTTTGTCTTTAACAGAGCTGAGTAGCACTCTTCTCTCTATAATGGTTTTCTGACTTAAATAACATCTGTTTTGGCAAATGTAAATACGAAATTATAGGATTACTGTCCTGATAGCTAGTCAGAAGGGCTTAGAAACAGTTAGTGCAGATATGTCCTGTCAGTGCTGAGAAAGCTGATGCCCAAACAGTTACTTAGGACACATCCACAGGAGGAGCAGAGCTGGGGTCAGAACCCTGGTCTTCTGGCTTCTAGACTACAGATTTTGTTTTTGAATGCCAAGTTTAAGCAATTCCAAGTTGTTTTTTTTTTGTTTGTTTGTTTTGCTTTGTTTTTTTAAGATTTTGTTTATTTATTTGACAGAGATAGAGAGAGAGGGAACACAAGCAGGGGGAGTGGGAGAGGGAGAAGCAGTTTCCCCACAGAGCAGGGAGCCTGATGTGGGGCTAGATCCCAGGACCCCGGGATCACGACCTGAGCTGAAGGCAGACACTTAATGACTGAGCCACCCAGGCGCCCCAGCAATTCCAAGTTCTTATCTGATGCTTTTAAATGTCAAAAAAGTCACTCAAAATGACAGTGTATTTCAAGACTTGGGTATTTTAATTCCTTTCCAAGTTTTTGAAACAAATTCTTCCCCACATGTAATATGTATTTTACTTCTTACAGTGTTGATATACTGGAATTAATTTCTTTCCCTTTTTTCTCACAGGAGAAGCTAACCTTTCTTCATACCTTATATCAGCACTTGATAGCAGGCTGTGTGCTCATGAAACAACCAGAAGGCATGCTGGATAAATTCTCTTGGACTGAGCTTTGTGCAGTCTTGCAGGAGAATGTTGATGCCCTGATCGCAGACCTCACCAGGGCTAATGAGAAGGTAACTGTCCTCAGGCACCAGATACCTCTATTAAATTCAGTGACATTTGTCCACATCACAGTATCATTAAGAGGGGCTGACATTCATCTTATTTCAAAAAGAATTTGGATGTTAATAATTCAATACCATTAATTATGGCTTGTCTACAACTCAGTTTGATGCCATTGCTGTGGGCATGTAAATGTGACTGAAGTCTGTATGAAGTCTCTAAGCTCCACACTCTGTGCAGGACATGCTAATACTACTAGCCAGTATTAGCCACAGGGACCTAATTAAAAGAAAATAAATTAATCTTACTGATGAAGCAATTCAAAGAACTTAGTCATTTACATTAATAAACCAACTCTTTATGTTAGCATAAAATAGAAACAAGATACAGTTATTCAAAAACATGATCTTAACATTTTTGCCCAGGAAATAACGAGGTGTTACTTTAAAAGCACTTAAAAATTTAAAATTATGTTTATGGTATTTCTTGAATCATAACAAACTGTGTATTAACAAGCCCCATTCAGTGCTGTAGCGTGTTCAAAGTGTACATGGTAGCAGAAAACAGGGGACTTCACCAGCCCAGGAATTCAGTCTTTCAAAAAAAAAAAAAAAAAACCACAAAACAACCCCCGCCCCCAAAACCCCAACAAGCCCCCTTTTGGTTATGGAAAATTTAAATGGCTTAGCAGACCAATGTATTCCACTGATAAAGATACTGATTTTCATCTCGGCTCTACTGACCTGGTCAGGACTGTATTATGTGGTCTAGTTTCTAGATCTTAGTTGCCATGGCATTTGCTCTTACGCGACATGAAGAAAAAAACCTGTTACCTGAGTTTTTTTTTTTTTTTTTCCCCCTCCTCCAATCTGTTGAACTAATGAAACAGCATCTTGGCCCAATTTTATAGTGAGAACATTTTACCTTGGTTCGATTGGCAAACACAACCTTAGGCACTGAGAAGTAGGATTAAGGAAATGAGGGAACACATTGTGAGAAGCACAGATGCTGTTCATGATTGAGAATGTGTGTGTAATGGGTTTGAAAATTACTGATAATTAAAATGAGTATATGTTTGAACCCTCTGAGATGGTATTATGTTTTAATAGTTTTTCATAGTTTCAAAACATCATTAATTGTCGTACATGTTAGATGATGATTTTCTTTCTGGTGTTTTGAACGTGAAATAAAAAATGGTTGTCACATTCTGTTTTATTATATGTAAAATGTTTGTAGATTTGTAAATCTCATTGAAATACTTCATTTCCCATTGAGATATGTGAATAGCTTGAGCTTTGGTTCTAGAAGTAAAAATATTCTTAATTTTCTCAGTAAAGTTGATTATAGAATGAGTAACTTTATTAGAAAGAGAAAAAAGACTTGTCATCTAAGCACAGATACATACAAATGACCCCATTTTCTCCTATGATATGATAATTTGTCCTACCAATTTGTTTCTTTTTTTTTTTTTCTTTTCCATTTTAACTTAAAATTTTTATGTGAACTTAAGGACCGAAACATAATAGAAGATTCTGGATGGTGTTTGGGGGGTTGCTACAAAGACATGTTTTGTGAACATACCTCATTCTCTGTTGCGTAACCCTATTTAGATAAATCACCTGGAGTATATCTGTAAAAACAAGTCTGATACGATGAGAGAACTTCAGCAGACCCAGGAAGACACTTTTAACAAAGTGGCGGAGCAGATCAAAGCCCAGGAGAGCTGCTGGCACAAACAGAAGAAGGAACTGGAACTGCAGTACTCGGAGCTCCTCTTGGAGGTGCAGAGGAGGGCACAGGTGCGCTGCTTCTGCCAAGAGCTTTACCAGTACGGTGCTTGGTATTTTGTTATTGCCAGTGTTTTCTATGAGTAACAAGGCGAAATCAGTTTAGAACTTTTTGAGAACCACATAGAACTTGTCAGGCACACATGCATATGATTGTGCAAACACACACATATATGTTGGATTTGATTGAGAACATAAGTTATGGGTAGTTAACATGACTGAATTTTTTCATATACAAATTATTGTCATCACAGTTTATATTGTTAACTGTGATCCCTTCCCCATCAAGAATAACGTACTGATAGTGTCTACTTTTTTTTTTTTTTGTTACTGACTTTAATAATAGTTCATGTGTTCCCAAGATAAGATACTTAGAACCTGACTCAGTATTTAACCTCTTTATTTGGACCGTACTTATACTGGCTCATACTTGTATTGGCAAGTTTAATTAAAGGAAAGAAACCTTATTATTTTTATTTGCCAATAAATAGTTTCAGATTGCTTAAAAGAACACCATTCTGCTTTCCGTATGTAAACTTATACCGTTCTCTGTGAATTTGAAGAGTTAATACATTCACTAAAAGTAGCCATGTGTTTGGTGTTGCAGGATGCCATGTGATATGGTCTGCATTTTCTACTACTGAAATAAAAGACCTAAACCATTTATTATATTTTCTTTAGAGGTACCATTGGCATTCAGTGACGTGAACAGATCTTGAGTGTATAGCTTGATGTTTGGATTGTTGCAAAGACCTATGGAACCATATTCCACTTAAAACTTAAATTATTTCGTTACCCCAGAAAGTTCTTCTGTGCCCTCTTCTAGTTCCCACCCCATAGGCAGCCAGCATTCCGATCCTGTCATCATAGATTACTTTCACTTGCTTTTGAGTTTCCTCTCAATGGAATCATTCAGTATGTACTGTTTGGTGGTTGGTTTATTTCACCCAAAATATTTTCTGAAACTCATCCATGTTGTTGTGTGTGTCAGTAATGCATTCTACTTTTATGGTCAAGTAGCATTCTATTTTATAATTAAACCACAATTTGATAGATTGTGAGTTGATGGATATTTCAGTTGTTTCCAGTTTTTGGCTATTGTAAATGAAATTGCAACAGATATTATAGAAGTATTTTGTTGACATATGGTTTTCATTTCTCTTGGTTAAGAGTGCAATTGCTAGGTCATAGGATAGCTGTATTTTTTTTTTTCTAAGTCTCAAATTTTTTTTCAAAATGATTGTATTATTTTATATTTCTACCACCAATATATGAAAGTTTCTATTATTCTTCATCCTCTGCAACATTTGGTATTGCCAGTCTTTAAAATTTTAGCCATTCTAGTTGTTTTAAAAAGGTATTTCATTGTGGTTTTAATTCATATTTTCCTAGTGATTAATGATGTTCAGGACTTTTCATGTTTTTATTGGTCATTCATATATCTTCTTTTGTGAAATGTCTCTTCAAGTATTTGCCCATTAAAAATTTGGGATTGCTTGTGTTTTATTAGTGATTTGTAAGAGTTCTTTAGATATTCTGGATATAAATCCTTTCTTATACATGTGCATCACAAGTTCCAATACTCCCTTATCTTTTCATGTTTTAATATTTCTTTTGCTGATCACAAATTTTAATATTTTAATCAAGCCCAACCTATAAATCTTTTTGGGTATTTATTTTTATGTGGTAAGCAACGTTTCTGTACTCCAAAGTTGTATGGATAATCTCCTATTATTTCTTCTAGAAGTTTGAAAATTTTAGTTTTCATGATGAGATCTATGATCCATCTCAAGTTAATTTTTGTATTTAATCTTAGAAGCTGATTTTTCCCCATATTTATTGTTCCCATACCATCGTTCACGACTTTATTTTCCTCATTGAATAGCCGTGGTCCCTTTATGAGAACAAAACAAAAACAACTGATCATATATAAGAACCACAGGTTTGTTGGGTATCTGTAAAGTTTTGCCTTTTCCAGGATGTCATATAAGTGGAGTCATATGTCGCCTTTTGGTCTGACTTTTTTTTCACTTAGCAAAATATGTTTGGGAATTATTCATGTTTTTGCATATATCAGTAAATTCCGTTTTACTGCTGAGTTATATTCCATTGTATGGATGTATCACTGTTTATGCTTGCTGATGGGCCTTTGGGTTATTTTTATTTTCTAGTAATTATGACTAAAGAACCTATCATGGATAGGTTGTTGTGTGATCATAAGTTTTCACTTCTCTTGGGTAAATACTTAGAGGAGTGTGATTTCTGGGTTATATGGTAAGTACATATTTATTATGTTATATAAATGGTTATATGGTAAAAACTGACACTGTTTTCCCAAGTGGCTGTACCATTTTGATTTCCCACTAACGTGTAAGGGAGTTCTAATTAGTCTGCATCTGTGCCAGCATGTGGTTTCATAATTTTTTTTCCTTTTTAGATAGCCTAGTAGGCGAAGGAGTGGTTGTGGTTTTAATTTCCATTTTTCCTGATGAATGGTTTTTTCATATGCTTATTTGCCATCTGTACATATTTTTGGGTAAATAACTTGTTCATATCTTTTGCCCACTTTTTAATTGGATTGCTTGTTTCCTTGTAGTTGAATTTTGAGAGTCATTTACATATTCTGAATAGAAGCCATTTGTCAGGTGATTTGCAAATATTTTCTCCCATTCACTTAAAAGTACTTTGGCAGAGCCAATATTTTACATTTTTATAAAGTCCATCTTACCAAATTTTTTCTTTTATGACTTATGCTTATAGTGTTGTATCTAAGAAGTGTTTGCTTAGTGCAAGGTCACCAAGATTTCCTCCCATTTTTTTCTTCTATATGTTTTGTAGTTTTAAGTTTTGCAAATAGGTCTATGACTCATTTTCAGTAAATTTTTGTAAAGATGTGAAGTATGGGTTGATGTCCATTTGCTTTTCATATGGATATCCAGTTAATCCAGCATTGTTTATTGGAAGATTACCCTTTCTCTATTGAATTGCCTTTGAACTTTGTCAAAATCAATTTGCTATATTTGTACAAGTCTGTTTCTGACTTCTCAATAATATTCCATTTATTTGTCTGTCTATTCATTAAACTATACTGATTTGATTTTTGTAGGTTTTTAGTTAAGTCTTGAATTCAGGGAGTGTGACTCTTCCAACTTCCTTTATTTCCTATCAGTTTTTTTTAATTGAATAAATTTAACATGTAACATTATGTAAATTTAAGGTGTACATTGTGTTAATTTGATACATTTATATATTGTAATATGATTGCCATTGTAACAATATTTATCACATTGCATACTTACAGTACAACATTTTTATTATTGTCTATATTCAATAAACTGTGCATTTAATCTCCATGGCTATTTTAGTACTCATAAAAGTTTGTACCCTTAAGCAACATCAGTTTAACCCCCCTTTCCATTCCTCCATCCCCTATCCCCTGGTAACCATCATTTTGCTTTCTTTCTTTCTTTCTTTCTTTTTTTTTTTTTTTTAGCATGTTTGATCTTTTAAGATTCCATGTATAAGTGATACATTTAATACACCTCTTTGTCTGGCTTACCCCCTTTAGCATAATGTGCTCAAGGCCCATTTATGTTTTTGCAAATGATAGGATATCCTACTTCCTCATGGCTGAATAATATTTCATTGTGTATATACAACACATCTCTTTTATCCATTCATCTGGTGATAGGCATTTGGTTGTTTTCATATCATGACTACTGTGTATGGTGCTGCAGTACTATGCATGGGGATGCATATGTCTCATCGAATTCCTGTTTTCACTTCCTTTGAGTATATTCCCAGAAGTGGAGTTGATGGAATGTATGGTAGGTGTATTATCAAGTTTTTGAGTGACCTCTATATTGTTTTCCATAGTGATTGAACTAATTTACATTCCCATATTCTCACCAGTACCTGTTGTCTCTTATCTTCTAGATGCTAGCCATTCCAGCAGGTGTGAGGTGATATCTCAGTGCAGTTTTTATTTGCATTTCCCTGATGATGAGTGATGTTGAGCATCTGCTCATGTGCTTGTTGACCATTTTGATGTTTTCTTTGGAAGAATGTCTACTTAGTTCTCCTGACCATTTTAAAAATGGGACTGTTTTTTCATTATGAAGTTGTGTTAGTTCTTTATGTATTTTGGATATTAACCCCTTATCTGATAAAGATTTGAAAAATTTTTTCCCATTTTGTAGGCTGCTTTTTCATTTTGTTAGTTTCTTTTGCTGTGCAGAAGCTTTTGAGTTTGATGTAGCCCTGTTTATTGGTTTTTGCTTTTGTTGTTTGTGCTTTTGACATCATACCCAAAAGATCATTGCTAAGTATCAATGAGCTTCTTTCCTATCTTCCAGGAGTTTTTTGGTATCAGGTGTTATATTTAAATCTTTGACCCATTTGGAGTTAATTTTGTGAGTTGTGTGAATTAGGGGTCCAATTTTCTTGCTGTGCGTACGTTCCTCCGGCTTCTCCCAGCACCATTTGAAGAGAGTATCTTTTACCCACTAGGTGTTCTTGGCTCTCTTGTCCAATATTAGTTGACTGTATATACCAGGATTTAATTCTGGGCTCTTTATTCTGTTCCACTGGTCTATGTGTCTGTTTTTGTGCCAGTATCATACTGTTTTTATAACTATGACTTGCTGATGATTTGATCTTATATATAAAAAACTTTAAAGAGCCAATCAAAAAACTGTTGGGTTAATTAATGATTTCAGTAAAGTGGCAGGTTAAAAAATCAACTAACAGAAATAATGAAATACTGGAAAAAGAAGTAAAGAAAACTATCCCATTCACAAAAATCATAAAATACTTAGGAATAAATTTTATCAAAGAAGTGAAAGATCTGTACAATGAAAACTGTAAGACTTGGCTCAAAGAAATCGAAGACACAAGCAAATGGAAAGACTTCCTGTGTTCATGGATTGAAGATTTCACATTGTTAAAATGGCCATACCATGCAAAAGCCATCTATAGATTCAGTGCATTCCCCACCAAAATACCAAAGGCAT